AAGACCCATGCCACATACTTCTCCCTAGCAGCCCTTTTCAACCAGAGCAGCAGGTCTGTACCTCTCCACTCACCGAAATCATTCCCCACTGACACCACAGACAGAAAACCTGTAAGGAGTACCCCTACAGAAGCAGATGGGCTTTAAGGAGCAGATATTCTGCTTCCCTGGCAGTGTCTCTTGGTAGCAAAGAGCCTCTGCTGCCACCTGTGTTCAGCCTCGCACAGTCATCCCAGTCCAACCTTGCACTTGAGCTGGAAGGGGACAAACCAACATCACATAGGGCAGTCCTCCCCCTCCCAAAGAGAGCCACAGCCCACTAACATGCAGGTGAGCAGCCAGGTGTATAGGCACTGCTGAGCACAGGAGCCAAGCACATGTCCAGAGGAGCCTGACCCCTGGGGGAAGGTGCTGATGCCTTACGTGTCGCAGGAAGCAGTGGCTGACCCGCAGAGGGTGGTTGCAGCAGCTCTCAAGCTCTCGCAGGAAGTATTGGCTGTGGAAGGCATAGAGCTTCTCCAGGTTTCCAAAAATGACACTGCGCTTCCCACGCAGGTCCTGGGGGAGGTCACTGCGCTCCATCTCAGGGAAGTAGCTATTGATGACATAGCAAAGCGACTTCACGTATTCCTGCTCCGTGGTTACCATCTCGTCAATGATGTGCCGCAGCTTGCTGCAACAGGAAACACTCAGCTTTGAAGGGACCCAGGCTGAGCAGGGCTACAGCAGCCAGAGTGCCTGCTTCTATCCCTACAGAAGCTCTCTGAGACAAGGTGATCCCTCAGCACAATCAAAGCTCAGATTCACAACTGTCCATGATAGCCTTGACCCTGAGCACTGACAGGACCCGAGTGAATGGCATGAAGCTACGTCATGAGAGGTTTAGGCTCGATATTAGAATAAGGTTCTACATCCTGAGGGTTTTTGGGCACTGGAACAGGCTCTCCAGTGAACTGGTCACAGCACCAACACTGGACAATGCTTTTAGGCATATGGTGTGTAATTCTTGGGGTTGTCCTGTGCAGAGTTAGGAGCTGGACTCAATTATCCTTGTGCGTTCCTTCCAACTCGGAATATTCTGTGATTCTAAGGAACCCTGTCAGCTTTTCTGTTCAGGAAGAGTGAGCCCCAGGTTGGCTGTGATCCTGACCCAAGCTCAGCAGGACATGCACAGCTGGGCCCACCCAGCCCCTGCTCTGGACACAATAGGCTGCTCTGCAAACAGCTGTGCTCCTGTAACAACAGCAACAGCAGAAGTCACGATAACTTCTGTGAGGAGGAGTCAGCCTGATGACTGGAGGCTGTGGGAGGCAATCTTAACCCTGGTGCTAGCAGATGCTGTTGGGCACTGCATCGCTGTTAACAGTTCATCATCATCCTAGCATGGGCTGCTCCACACATCTCAAAGGATGTCTCTTAAGTACCCGAGGTTTCCACTGCGAGGCAGTGTAGCACCAAACATAACTACTCCAACATGTCCCTGCCTCTCAGCTTTCCCTTAAGCCAACAGCTCTGGCTGTTCAGAAAACGGAACAGCAGGACTGCCTTAGAACCCCACAGATGGGAGGGCTGCTGCATCACTCCTTGAAGAAGCAAAGCAATTAGCCTGCTAGCTGGTCCTCATCCCTTGCCATGAGCTTCCCTGGATATCACTAGGATATCAGAGTCCCCTTCCAGATTTCTACTGTCCCCCCAGGCATCCCACTCAGAGCAGTAACAGTGATCCCCCAGCATACAGCACTTGTTTTTCATCTCTGTCATTAATTTTTTACTTTTATTTTAACCTTTTCCAGTGAGTGCAGCTGAAAGACCTGCCTGGAGACTCTCTGTCAAGAACAGCTCACATCCCTGGGCTCTCCATAGCCTAGCACATTGCACTATGACAATGAAGTTAAGATCCTCAAAGACAGAGGAGGACAAGAAGAGCACAAAAGCCAGCTGTTTGACAGCCAGAGATCTCAGTCCCAAAGGGTAAATACCAACACCCTCTTACCTGTGAAGCTGCTGTGACAAGGTGCTGAAAGTGCCTCCCTGTCAGTTGGGGTACAGCACCCTCCAAAAGCACTATGCTTCTGCTTTCTCACTGTACCTATACCTCTGCTTTGCTAGGTCCCTGAATACTGTTTCTGCAACCCCTCATCCTCCAATGCCAGCAATGTTCAAAGACTCCTTCTGCCTGGGAACTGCTTTCCCATCTTGGACAGAAATCACACTGTGACAGAAGAGCAACATATCTCATTTCCCTGCCTCCATGCCCAGGCAGGTGCCAGGGTATGTGGGGCCATCCCTGTGGGCCTGCTCAGCACCACACATGCATGTGAAGGGAAGCTGGAGCTACATCTTCATCTATCTGCCCTGTACCCAGTGCCAAAGCAACCATCACTACAGTGCTCCTCATATCTCTGCTGGCTGCCTTTTGACTGGCCTGAGGAATGGAGCACCAAATGTTGCAGCCACTTACCTGCCACAGCTCTTGGCTTCCGACACAGAGAGGCAACCCCTCTGTCCCTCCAGCAGGCAGTCTGCAGCCCAGCTGTGAGTTGCTGGCTGCCGCAGTGCGAATGTCCTGTCCACCAGCTCAGTGCTGCTCACCTCCAGCCCCTTGATAAAGACACCGTATCTGTCATATCTGACTGGCTCACTCCTCTGGCAGCTTGACCACAGGCTTTCACCACAAGGGAAGTCAAAGCTTTGGGCCTTCCTGAGCACCCTCCTGGAAGGCAGCTTCCCAGAGGCTGGAGTCAATGCAGGCGATGGGTTCACCTCCGGGGTTTCTAATATGCTCTCCAGATTTGGCTTTTCTTCAGGCAGCTTGGGAGACTTGCAGGCCCCACTGGCAAAAGAAACTCTGCTTGAGTGAGGACTAGGGCTGAGAGCAGCTTGGCAGGCAGATTCTTCCCCAGCACCAACATCGCCAGGGCAGCTCAGGGAAGGTGAGGGAACTTTCTCCTTAGTCCACTCCAGAGAGCAGTTGGGTCTGTTATAGCAGTGGGACCCACTGAAAGTCCTGTCCCAGTGGGATCTGGAGGTGGTCCCCTCAGAGTGTCTCCTCTGGGACAGACTGCCAGCTTCACTGCCAGCCTGGGGTTGCTTCCTGGCAGTTGGGTTGTGGTCTGACAGCAGAGACTTCCTTGATCTCAAGGCTGCTTCGAGTTTCTTTTCAAAAACCTTCTTGGTCTCCTGGCATTTAGACCATGCAAATTTCCATTCCTTGAGCCCCTTCTCACTCTTCAGCTCATAGGCCAGCTCCTTCATCTCCTGGAACCGGGCAGCACTGATATCTGGGTGCTGTTCCTTGTAACTCTCCAGGCACTTGATCACATCCTCACAGTGCTCGGCGGAGTTGCAGTCCATGCTGATGCAGGCAAGGTGTCGCATCCCTTCCAAGGCCCACTCGTACGCCTGCAGAGTGAGAACAGAAAGCAACAGCCAGTCAGAGAGACTTAGCAAAGAATAACCCTAACCCAGTGCCTGAAGACAAGAGAAAGGATCAGTGTGTGGCCATCACAGTTCCTCGAATGTGAGGGGAGGGGGGGCTGCTATTGTCAATGGGGCTTAACAATTCAGCAAAACAAACAGGCCCTTATGCAAAGGGCTTCAGCTGTGCAGGCTGCTCTGCCACAGCCCCACCTCCTCACCAGGTCCCTGCAATGCTGGCACCCACGTTGCTGGGCACGTTTGTCCTCTCCGGGCAGGGGAGCCCAGGGAAAGCTGCTGCTAAGCCTGTAGGAATTCACGCCTCAGCGTGACCCTGCTCAGTATAAAACCTGGAACTCTCCCTCCTCCTTCGTCCAGCCACTCGCACCACTGCCACGCAGGACAAGGTCAAAGGGCACCAGTAAGCTGCAGGGAATGGAACTGCTGCTTCCCACAGTGTTTCCTTGGAGTTGACAGCACACAGAAGACTGGAGTTCCACTAGACTTGTGCTCTGTGGATCACCCCAAGTGCCCTAACCCATCTCTGCAGCAAGGAGGAATCTGAGACCATGAAGCTTGTGTATTTTCCATCTCTGCTGACACCTGTGTGGTGTGGTGTACCCTGCCTACCTGCCTGGCTCTGCTTCCCACTGCACTACATGCTTGTGCTGGTTAGTTGAATACTGAGCTCAGCAGTTTATTTCTAATACTCCAGGAATGCTGGAAGCAGCTTCATGGGGCTTAACTCTAGCAGTGGTGCATATGCTGGCCTTGCTAAAACAGCTCTGCTGTATCAGTCAGCCACAAGGAGTGGGACAAAATGTGGTCCAATGGCACAGACACAAAGTGAGTGCCTTACCACCATGGCAGGAAAAGGGCTGATGAAGCAGG